AAAAAAAAAAAAAAAAAAAAAAAAGGACCTCTGCATAATGCAAAAGAAATATAAAAAGGGACAACTGCATAACGCAATAAAGTTCCCCCCTCCCCTCAAGACCAAACCTCTCCCCGGTGTTCCAAGTCCCCACTTGTCAGGATCATTCATTTCTGACAGTAGATGGCATAGATCGACGGTGCGAAATGAAGATTTCAGGCGAGTGGGACTCGGCCCCCGATGCAATTCCTGTAAAACCAGACCTATTTGTTCATTTAACTCCGTTGAAAAAAGACCTACTGTAGGTGCGGCAGTTTTACTTAATAAAAAGAAATATACGCTTAATTTTTTTGTGAATCATAAAAAACTGGGTGGTAAAGCAAACGGGGTGGAGGTTGGCCCAGCGGCCCTTATCAAAACATACGTGGTATCTGAGAAAAAAGACTGTACCCAGAGATGTGGCCCAGCAGTTTTTAGTTATTTGGAGGAGGCAACTTCTCAGAATAGCGTTCCTCTTTTTTTTTTTTGGATGGGTAGTATTGGGGTACCCTTTTTTTTTTTGAGGGGTACCTTATTTTGTTTTTTGATGGGTACCTTTTTTTGTTTTTTGATGGGTACCTTTTTTTTTTTTTGATGGGTACGGTTTTTTTTTTTTTTTTCCCCTTCCAAAGTTCTCAACATTTGCTTGTTGATAACGTTCTCAACTTTCGCAAACCAATAAGCAATTGATCAATCTTTGATCTGATGGCCACCAAAAAAAAAAGAAAAAGAAGAAAAGAAAAGGGCGAGTCATCATCACATCTATTTTTTAAGGAGACAGCCTTGTGGATCTTCAGAAGTAATTAAAAAACAAAAAGAATCCAAAAAATACGGTTATAGAAAAACACGTCAATATTTGAAAAAATTGAAGTGTAATCCTACCCAAAAAAAAACCCAAAAAAAGAATAATACTGTGGGTATTTTGTGGAACATTTCTGGCCCTGAGATGATTGCGCCCTTGGGCGCAGTCCGGGAAATTTGTTGTAAATACTAAATTTGTGAAAATGTCCAAAATTTCCTAAATAGTGTCGGAACGCATAAATCGAGAAATGGTGTCGGAACGCATAAATCGAGAAATGGTCCAAAATTTTCATTAAAAAAAAAGGAGGGTCCGCATCGGCGCACGCTCTCTCTCTATGTCTCAACCTGTGTAGCATAAATACTGCGCACGCTTATGGGGAGTAACAATTGTGAGCCATTTCGTTTGTTATTTTTGTGATTCGTTTGGTTTTCTTTTTTCGTTAGTGTTCTGTTTAGTTTTTTTTTTTTTTTTTCCCCTCGCGTTTTTCCTTCGGTTTATTCCGTGTGTTGTCCGTTCGTTTGAGCTGCCAAAAACACCTGACACCTGTATTTTATAAAATTGGAGCTTTCCGGCTTATTTATTTATTTATTTCATTGTTATTAAATCAATAAATAAATTCAACAACTCGAAGATTGATTTAATAAGAGAGATGGGTGTGTGACTTCACACCTGCATTTAACAACGTCTCGAGCTTTTTCGGCTTATTTATTTATTTTTATTTGTATTGGTACTTGCAATCAATCAACGAATCCTTCAGTTTTATTGTTTACTTAAATCAATCAATGAATTTTACAATTCATTGATCTATTTATATAGTATATAATAGTTATGGGTGTGTACCATCCACGTGTGTCGGTAATGTGCATTTTCGGTGTTCTCTTTTTGTTTTCGTTTCCTTCCTCAAAACTCCCCCTTACCCTTCTTCTGGGTCTTTTTAGTTTCAGTCTACTATAGGAATTGCTTCCGGTACACCAGTCACAATTTTTACTGCCCAATAGATCAATGAATTGTAAAATTCATTGATTGATTTAAGTAAACAATAAAACTGAAGGATTCGTTGATTGATTGCAAGTACCAATACAAATAAAAATAAGTAAATAAGCCGAAAAAGCTCGAGACGTTGTTAAATGCAGGTGTGAAGTCACACACCCATCTCTCTTATTGAAACACTGATAGATATATCTTTTTCTTCACACAGCGTGAACCCAGCTCGCTCCGCTAAGTGTCTTAATTATGATTTTATTTCTCCCCCTGACAACCAGAGAAGTTTGAAATTTGACAGTCAACTCTGCTGTTGGGTGCATATCCAGTTCGAGCACTCCTTCCCTCCCCTCTTTTCGGTTGACGTTCAAAGGGCAATCCAAGGTCATCCCTCCCTCCGCCCTTCTGCCCCCACCTTTGCTTGGTGCTCTCGTCAGAACGAACATCTTGTGAAAAGTAAAGAAACAGTACACAAAAACACAAACATCCTATGCCCCTCTCCTGCCCACAAAGTCGTGGCACGTTCGGGACTGACTCGCATGCGTGAGCGCAGTCATTTCATTGCATGCATGCAGAATGCATGCACTTCATTGCATGCATGCATTTCATTCTTGCATTTTATTCTTGCATGCATGGATGTTTGAAGATGTATCTGATTATCCCCATGTGTGCATGCATGCAGGGGACGGTTGTCATGCAAGTGGCAGTGCCGGGTAGCTACGTTGGGATGGGAGAAGAGCTGAAAGCATAGAAGCGGGAAACCACTCTTGAAACAAGTTATCATACAAAACTGAAAGACCAGCACTTGAATAGGCAAGAAGGAAAAGCACCGTGAGGTGGGAAGCTTACTCGTACTAATTACGATTCCGATTATCGGGGTAATGAAGAAAATATAAGATTGGAGATATAGTACGTAAGATTAATCTTTTTTCCAGCATTTCATTTCATTGCATGCATGCATGTTTGTTTGTATACATGTATGCATGTATGTTTGCATACATGTTTGTTGGAATACATGTATGCATGCATGCATGTGATCATAGTGTGTATCTTCTCAAGCATTTCATGAAGTTGTTACGTGATAGGCATTTGGCTTTTGATGGTTGTCAGGTTGTGCCGCTCTGTAAATCTACCGATTAATCATGCACTGAATCAGCGAATCAATCGCCCAGCAAGTGCAGAATACAGAAAAAAAACGGTCAATGAATGAGTCAATCAATCAGTCGTCATTCAACTAAGCACTCCAATCAACCTAGCAGCATCCAGCTAATCAATCGATCAATTAAGCATCCAGGCGACTAATCAATCAAGCCTGTAAGCAGTCAATCAACCGATCATACAGTCAATCAAGCATACACTGGATCAACCAATCAGTCAATCAATCAATCAATTCGATCAACCGATGTATCTAACAATTCCTTGACCTAATCAATCAATGAAATAGGTCGACGTAAATCAACCGAATCAATATCGTATCAAATCAACCGAATCAAGTAAATGATAAATCAAATCAGATCGATCAATCAATCAATCAATCGTTTGGGAGGATGGACGAGAGCGGGGAACGAAGGAAATGAGGGCCAACGGAAGGAGGACTAAACGAGCTAATGGGAAGGGAGCCGGCGATGAATGCAGTGCGTGGTGAGAGAGACGGATGAGGCTCCTCGAAAAAAGGAAAGACGGACGAGGCTGTTCGCCTCCCCCGAGTACTACTTACGCTGCCCCTTGAGTTGTACCCCCGCGGGCTTTATGCTCCTCTTCATGGCGATTTCTCGGCCAGATTCATCAACACTGCATGCTTGGAAAGGGATTCACGGAACAAGAAAGCCACGTTTTAATCCGGGAATGTCAGTGATATACAGTGTTTAGGGTACAAGGCACACGCACACACACACAGACAGACACACAGAGAGAGAGAGAGAGAGAGAGAGAGAGAGAGAGAGAGAGAGAGAGAGGAGGATTTGTCGAAATGTACTCCTGTTTTGCTTTTATTTATACGTTAGCCTTTTGTTGTTCATCTGGCACAGACACACACACACACACGGGGAGAGAGAGAGAGAGAGGATTTGTCGAAATGTACTCCTGTTTTTGCTTTTATTTATACGTTAGCCTTTTGTTGTTCATCTGGCACAGACACACAGACACACACACACACACACACACAGAGAGAGAGAGAGAGAGAGAGAGAGAGAGAGGATTTGTCGAAATGTACTCTTGCTTTTCTTTTATTTATACTGTAGCCTTTTGTTGTTCATCTGGCTTGTGCCGCGTCTTGGTGTCCAGGTGCATTCGAAAGGCAAGGCTATCGGAAAGGACGTGGACTTTGACAAAATTGCCCGGCGCACTCCGGGTTTCACAGGTGCTGACCTGCAGAACTTGATGAATGAAGCCGCTATCCTGGCCGCTAGGAGAGATCTCAAAGAGATTTCCAAGGAGGAAATTGCAGATGCTCTTGAGAGAATTATCGCTGGACCAGAGAAAACCAACGCCGTAGTTTCTGACGAGAAGCGTAGGCTGGTTGCCTATCATGGTATGTGGATCGAACAGAACTCTCCTTCACTACGCAAATTAACCAACATCGGTCAATTCGCTATCCCATGTGAATGAACATAGGTTCGAATCCAACCACATAGGTTCGAACAGAATGTGCAAGACTCGTTCACTACGCAAATTAACCAACATCGGTCAATTCTCTATCCCATGTGAACCAACGTTGGTTTGAATCCAACCACAGATCATGTATGTGGATCGAACAGAATGTGCAAGACTCCTTCACAGTCACTACCTAAGACACACCAAATGGGACCTGGGGGAGGGGAGGGGAGGGGAGGGGTAGGAGGAGCGGAAAGGGCAGAGGGAGAGGGAGAGGGGAGGCACCGAGGGGGACAGAGAGCAGCCGGAGGAGAAAATGTGTGGAGGGGCGGGCCACAGATGGGGAGAGCGTACGAGGGATGAAGGAAAGATGAGATGGAGGGGAAGACAGGATTACGGAGCAAATACCATGATGAGTGTACGTATGTGTTCGGTTAGCTCTGTGTGTGTGTGTGTGTGTGTGTGTGTGTGTGTGTGTGTGTGTGTGTGTGNGAGAGAGAGAGAGAGAGAGAGAGAGAGAGAGAGAGAGAGAGAGAGAGAGAGAGAGATGGGGAGGAGAAGGGATGCAGGCAGAAGGATAGGTGGGGTATTGAGGGGGTAGTTCAGCGGAGTGAGAAAAGGGAGCAGCACCGGTAGAAAAGATGGGACCAGCTGGTGATCATTCTTCTTGCAGGTTTCCTCAACAACTATGCGGCTCATTGTGTAGCCCACACCTGTGTCCAAGAGTCGATGCTGAATGAGCGAACGGCTGCGGGTAGGAGATAATATATTAGGTGTAGGCGGTTTGTTGACGCTCTGCAGACAGCAGCTCTTCGGTCTAGCTGATAATGCCAAAGACTATTTGGCAGGAAGGAATCCTGAATCCCAAACCCAGCATCAGATTGTGGGTCTTTTGAATTGATTGGATTTCATTTTCCATCATGCAACCCTGATTGGTTTGGTCGTGGCGATCCTTGGATCCCTAGTCGTTGGATTTTGACCCTTGATCTCTGGTCGTCGGATTGCTATCCTTGATTTTGTATCCTCGGATAATGACCTGATCGTCGGATCTGATGCTTGGTCCTGGATCGTTGGATTGTGATAAGTGGTGAAGGATTCAGGAGCGTGGGTCGTTGGACTGTTGCAATATGTATGGTCCGCGATTGGATCCTGGTCGTTGGTCTGTGGTCAGGGATCAGATTCCGGACCGCCGGGTTGTGATGGTTGGTCACGGATGGTTGGATTGTGGTCCAGGATCCCGAGTTGGTCCCATTGGACTCGTTTTGGTCCAGGGTCGGATCCAATTGGGACCGATTTGGCTCTATTGGGACCAGTATATGCCCAAATTGATCTAGGTCCAATTGGGACCGATTTGGGACCGATTTGGCTCTATTGGGACCAGTAGGTCCAATTGGGACCATTATATGCCCATCTACTGCTTGGATTCGCTGAGTCATGGGACTGGGGTGCAGGATTGCAGGATCCCTTGATTAGGCCAAATTGATCCCAATTGGACTCTATTTGGTCTGGTGTCGGATCCAAGTGACCAGTATATGCCCACCTCCTGCTTCGACTCGTTGCATTGTTGGACTGTGTTCCAGGATCGGATCGAGCGTTGGATTGCAATACCTTAATAATGTGAAAATGACGAGAAAACCCAGTCCTATTGCTGGATGTGGGGCCACATGCATCTGTTGATGAACAGATAAACAATTCAAACCCTTGTAAGCAGCTACAAGTCTCATAACTTCATAAGTCACTATGTGACAGTTCTCAAAGAAATACCCAACGAAAAGTATTCCCGCCCCCCCCACAAAAAAAAAGTAACCCTTAACAAGGGTGCACGCTGCCGCCTTCGCTGCCGAGCAGTAAGAAAAAAACATAGCATCCGTGGGTGGAAGGTTTGGGCAGCAGCAGGAGCTCCGTTGACTGTAGCACTCCGACCCCCGCAGGGAAAGACCGGCCAAGCATCTGTCAGTCTGCACCAAGAAGAGCAGCAGAATATCTCTAACGAGAGTCAATCCCAAACATGTGTGTGTGTGTGTGTGTGTGTGTGTGTGTGTGTGTGTGTGTGTGTGTGTGTGTGTGTGTGTGTGTCGGTAAACATAATACCACAGAAATAAGGATGACTGTGACAGAGTTCCATTGGATTTTCAGCCTGTGTGTCCGTGTGTGAGATGTGTGTGTGCATGTACATTCATATACATTCTTTTGATCTGGAATGTACATTTCATTGTGTGTGTTCTTGCGTTGGATGACCCGGGCTCATGAACGGATGCAACCGGTGCGGTGGGCGAACAGAGGCGGGGCATGCAATTGTTGGAGCACTGATGCCAGAGTACGACCCTGTGGCAAAGATTTCCATCATTCCACGTGGCAGAGCTGGAGGGTTAACCTTTTTCGCTCCAAGTGAGGAACGGCTGGAGTCTGGATTGTACAGCAAGAGCTATCTGGAGAACCAGATGGCTGTAGCTCTTGGGGGAAGGTCAGTTCTTAGATCCTCTAACCAAAGCCTCTACTGTCTGCCCCAACTCTCTATTTTCCATCCCTTTTGCCGCAGCATGCCTCTCCTGCTTGCCATGTGTTTTCTTCCTTTATTGCACTGCTACCTTATGCTGCCTATTACACTGGGCTACCTTATGCTGCTGCTTCTTCTCCTGCTCAACTCTCTACTCGTTTCCTTTATGTGTTTTCTTCCCTTATTACACTCCTCCTACCTAATGCTGCTGCTTCTGCTGCGGCTGTGGTTCATATTATGGTTATTACCATTATTATTTGATCAGTTTGTCATTGCTATTATTGTACCATTATTATCAGGGACAATTCTGTGCATAGGTCTAGTTTGGCAGTGGCCAGAATGCTACTGTCAGAATGTACGTGGATGCCTTTAAACCACCACTACCTTTCACAGGCAAACGCGAAGTCCATCTAGTAGCCTACTCCTGAAAACACGGGGCTCGGGGCAGGGTTGGAGGCCGACGAAAAAAAAAAGAAAAAAAAGAAGAAAAAAAAAGAAAGAAAACKAAGAGTCCCCACTCCAGGGATGTCGGGAAAKGCCCTCACGAGGGTGGAAGTTATACCAGTGCTTGGAYGAATGTATCTGGCCACTATGTCGGAAAAGGGATTGCARGTCGKTTTTYTTYTTCTTTTTGTTTTGAAATCCTTGTAGTGCCCTGCCAGCCAGGCAGGGCGTGTTTCACGGGTGGCACGTAACTGTCTCACTGCTGTAGCATCATGTATCTGCNTTGTTTTGAAATCCTTGTAGTGCCCTGCCAGCCAGGCAGGGCGTGTTTCACGGGTGGCACGTAACTGTCTCACTGCTGTAGCATCATGTATCTGCCCTCAATCACAGGAAAAGGGATTCCTTCTTTTTTTTTTGTTGCTTCTCTGTTTTTTCCCGTACACGCCCTCACTGAGGGCACAGTCACACAAGCACCTCATAGAATGTATCTGGTGGTTATCAAGGCGTTCGGGAAGTCTCTTTTTTTCCTTTTTCTTTTTCTTTTTTTTCCCCTTCTTCTTTCTTCGATGAAACTGCCCCGGCTCGGCCAAACTCGGTGCGCAGTGAAAATCAGGGTCGGCAAAAACAGGTTCGGTGGTAGTGGTGGTTTAAGTCCAAGTGCACCTCGATGTATATTCTGACAGCGACATTCTGGCCGCTATTGTAGGATCATGAGGACGTGAACGTAACTTATCCTTTTCTCTTCTTTTTCTTATTCTATGTTTTTCTACTCTTGTTCTTTTAATTATGATAGTGTTACCATCCTGGCTATTTCCGAAGTGCAAATTCACAAGGAAAGACAATGCCACCCAATTGCAAAGGAAATGAAGCATTTGCAAAGAGATAGAGACCAAAAACAGAGAAAGAAGAAGAAATAAAGAAGAAGAAGAAGAAGAAGAAGAAGAAGAGAAGAAGAAGAAGAAGTACACCAGCAAGACCAGTGACAACCCCCCCCTTCTCTCTCCACTCTCCTCCTCCGTCTTGCCTCCACCAATCCTATTCTTCTCCAAATAATAATAATAACAATGAGTGGTTGAACCAGAGTCAATATCCGAAGTTCACTCTTACTGCCAGCACAACAAGAGGTCCACCATAGCCATGGCCCCCCCCCCCCCCYCCCCTCACCCCCTTTTTTTCTCAAACAGGCCTCGACTATGGTGGACTATTAAGGGCCCTGCCCTGATCTGCAAAAGACAATGCAAAGCAGCTATGGCCGCTGCTCTTCAGGCCGCCATGCCTGACTCTGCCTTGAAGCCTCCTTGGTGCAGCACTACCCCAACTGGGGCCTACCAGATGCAGCGCCTAACAAGGTGATGAAGACGGCGTCCACCACAGCCAGGTAAGTACCTCGCCACTCTCCTCCTTCGCCCCCTTCTTCCTCCTCCTCAAGCTGGGCTGCTCGCCATAAGGCAGAGCGCCCAGCTCTCCTCCTTCCTCCCAGGCACCGCTCTGAGAACCAGCGCCCGCTCAAGCAGCATGATGCCCAAATTTGCATACCGCACATGAGGAGCTACTCGCTCCTCCAGCCTCACGGCTGGTGACTTCCAGGCCGCACAGCCTCCAAGCAACCATTACCACCTCCCTTTCAGAGGGAAAGATCATTCATTGCAGGCTCTGATATCGTCTGCACAGGCCCTAGACTCAGGCTACTTGGACTGGTACCCGCCTACCTCTAGGCCAACAGCTACTGGGCCTCTAAAAATGCTGACTTTTGTCTTCTTCTGCTCGGTCTCAGTTCCCAACACATCTACCACTACTTGAGTGGTACTGGCCTACCTGCTACTTGAGTGTTTTTCCCCGCTGCCCTAAGTGTCACGGGCGTACCCCACTGAAGTGTTTTCCCCGCCCGCAACCCTCAAAGTCACAGCCACACGTACGTACCAGCCCCGCGGGCCTCACAACACACAAGTGCTCTGTCGGGGCACAACACACTCAGGCAGACGTGCACTCAGACAGGCACACGGACCGGCAAGCACGCACACACACACACACACACACACACACACACACACACACACACACACACACAGACTTAGAAAATTCAGCAGAATGCGGGAGTCTCAGCAAGGCATACATTCCAGCGGCAAAACTCAGAAATCAACAGTGTTCTCAGTCTGTGTTTTGGTGGGTCATTACAATATTATTCTTATGGTTGTTAGTATTACTATTATTGTGGGTGGACCAGGGAACGTCCCAGCCAAAAAAAAAAAAAAAAAAAAAAGAAATCCGAAAAGAAATCCAAAAAGTCCGAAAGTATTACTATTATTGTGGGTGGACCAGGGAACGTCCCTGTGCAAAGACCAGGGAACGTCCCAGCCCAAAAGTAAAAAATAAAAAAAATCCAAAAAGTCCGAAAAAAAAACTATGTTATGCAGAAAAATAAACTGAACAACTTTTGCCTCAGGGTCACATCGAAATTCTTTTTTTTTCCATAAAACAGGTCCTTATGGCCCTGGCTCGGTCACATCGAAATTCTTTACCAAATTTAAAATAAAAATTTAAATAAAAAATATTAAAATAATTTTTGTTTTTTATTTTTTTATTTTTTTTTTACCCGGCCGGGCAAGTGGACCCGGGCCACTCTGGTAGCCTAGCCTATTAGGTATTATTAACTTAATATTAAGTAATTAAGTAATATTAAGTTATTATTATTATCATAGGATGGGCGCTATGCGTGTCAGTTTCCTGAACTACTTCCACGTTCGTCATTGAATTTGCATTTTTATGCTGAGCTGCTAAGCTTTTGTAGGATTTTTCATGCCGACTCCCTTGGTGTTGATGTCTGGCTCCCCCTTATTTGACTGATGATGGTTTCTCGCTCGTGTTGTCTATTGCTCTTTTTTGGACTGATGATGGTTGGTTGTTATCTCTGTCTGTCTCGGGCCTCCGCTCTTTTCTTTCGGGTTGGGCTGCGCATTCAACGACTTCTTCTTTACCTGATCAACCAGGGTTGCCGAGGAGATTATCTTTGGCACGGAGAATGTGACAACGGGGGCCTCCAACGACTTCATGCAGGTGTCGCGTGTAGCAAGGCAGATGGTGGAGAGATTTGGATTCAGTAAGAAGATTGGACAGATCACTCATGCAGGAGCCAATGCCAACCCATTCCTGGGACAGCAAATTGCACAATCAGCAGAGCACTCCATGGCTACGGCAGACATCATCGATGCAGAGGTGGGCATATGTTTAAGGGTCCAGTTTGGGCTGAATTGGTCCCAATTGGGTTCGATTGGCCGAAATGGCCCCCCCAATTGTTCCCATTTTATCCAATTTGGTCACACTGTATCTTTTTGTTGCTTTTCCTGTTGGGTGACGAGGACTGAATGGCCCCTTCGTGTTTGGAAAAGGATGAAACTTTGAATGAATGTAATTTGTTTGTCACAATTCTAAAGAAGGGAAATAAGACGAAGGAGAGAAGAGAAAGAAGAAGAAAAAGAAAGAAGAAGAAGAGGAGGAAGAAGAAGAAGAACGCAAGATGAGATCAATGAAGAAGAAGAAGAAGAAGAAGAAGAAGAAGAAGAAGAAGAAGAACACAAGATTAAGTCAATTCCTCATCCCCTCTTCTCTCCATCTCCATTAGCAGCCCTCACTTAACTCCTCTACGTTTTGGAATATAATAAAATGTAATAACAATGAATGAATTATAGGACAAGAATCAATCAATGTCCCAAAGATCCCCTCGCTGCCATTGTAGAAAGATCCTCTCTTTAGCACTCCTCTCCCTCTCCTCACAACCTAGATGAGCTGGCAGCTGTAGTGTGGATTTTCAAAGGGCAACCCAACTTCCACCGTGCTTCTCCCTCATAGCCTGACTTTCGGATGGAGTCCAATGCCAATTGTTACCTCTCCAGGAGGTCAAAACAGCTGCCAACCTAGACCACGTGGTGCAGTGCCAACCACGTGATTGAAGATGAAGGTCCGCCATAGTCAAATGTAACTCTTCCTCTTGGTTCCCTCCTTCCTTCTCCTCTTGCCTATTGCTGCCCTCCCCTCCTATCGCCATAGCCCAGCTTAGCCTCTACTACTATTCTCTCCATAGCAAGGTTCTCACTCTCGACGTCCGCGCCGTACACCACAGAGCTCCCTTCCGTCACCCTCAACCTCATCCTTGCTCACTCCAGAGCTCCACCGATTCGCCCTCTTGGCGGAGCAGCAACAAGACTCCTGGGCGAATTACTGTGACCACTCACTCATTCCACGGAGCGATATACACTTTTGCCTCTCGGCCTCCGTTCTGACTACCTTTGGGTACTACTGTCTTCCCTGGAACACGACGCACCCTCATTCTGACTGTATCTGGCCGGAAACATGCCTTGTGTACGTTCCTTTTCAGGGTGCATTATGTTCGGGGGAAGACGGTAGCAGCCTCTACCAGTGCACTTGGGCGTACCAGTTCCTGCCTTTTTGCCCAGAACATCGTTGCAACTGTAGTCCGACGTACAGACTGTGAATCTATAGACCTAATGCTTAGATACAGGTGCCTGCTGCCATCGCTACCTACTGCCATCCTACCAGACTGCAGGGCTTCTCTGAATTGTTGCAAATAAGTCCCTTCCGGGTCGCTTGGCAATTCTACTTCTACCCCTGGCCTATCTATAACTTCTGCTATGTCCTGCAGACAAATTTTGGTACGCCCATGTATCGATGCCTATATGGTAACCTATCCCTGCCCGATGTGCAGAAGCGCAGCACAGAAAACAGAGTGAGCATGGGGACACAGGCTTAGGCGCAGGCAAACGCACAGACCTACGCATATCATCAGCAGGTCTCACAGATGCAGCGAAAACACAGCAAAAAAGACTCAAGACTCGTAAATCTCAGCGCAACAGATCAAAGGCGACGACTTTTTCGGAAAGTGCTGATTTCTCTGGCTGTGACAGTGCACGTCGCCGCAGTAGAAATTGGTTCATTTAAGAGCACATACGCGTTCCAGGAGTCATGTTATCGGGCGTACTTACTTTTGATGCTTTCATTGCAAGAAGTTAAGACCTATGGTGGGAAGTGTTGATTCGATCAAAGCATTTCGCAATGTTTTTTGGGGCAGTATGTGTATCATATGCAGCTCTGTGCACTGTGTTGGCCCACAAGCTCCTTTCTTGACGATTACCAGGTGCTTTGCTGGGTTTGGCCGCAGTGCATTCATCCAAAGTTCACACAAACAGATCCAATGAGCAGTGGACAAGCAGACAACACATATGAGGTTGTGACTCTGTTTCTTGGCTCCCACCAACTTGTCAGGAGGCTGAACCCTTGGCAGTCTACAGTCCCCTGATGAGGCGCAGAACCTGTTCCAAAACACTATCGAGTTACCCCCTTGGCCTTCTGCAGTCCCGTGACGAGGCCCATAACCTGCTTCTGAAACCTATCGTGAGGCGGCAAAGACAGCAAGACACGCAGAGTGGCATGGGCAAGGCAACTGGATGCCGAAGTGGACGTGCAGCTGCACAGTTTGACATCTAGCAAGAAAAGTGGGTGAGGAGGCAGGCGGATAGCATGGCAAGCAGGCGGAGAGCGAAAGCAAGGCAGGACGAAAGACACGGACAAAAGCTAAGAAATGCAACAACCCACACGTACAGCAAGGATCAAAGCGGATTATCACCTATGCGCGCTGTATGGGAAACTCAGCAGACTGTGGGCCTGGTCACTACATGAGCGACGGAGCCACATAACAAATGTGTCTGTCACCACTAAGAAATACAGACAGCACGAACGCACAGCCCCCTGTCAGTCCAAAGGAAAGCGCCATCATTCAAGTATTCAGCACAACTCCAGAACAGCCTTGGGCACTGGGCCCTCTTTTTTATTAAAAAAAAAAAAAAAAAAGAACAGTTACTGGACACACCGAATATAGAGACGGATCCAGACAATGGAACAGACAAAAGACGGAAAGACAGAAAATACTATGTCTCTCTCTCTCTCTCTCTCTCTCTCTCTCTCTCTCTCTCTCTCTCTCTCTCTCTCTCTCTCTCTCTCTCTCTTGGTCCAAGGCTTGATGAGCGAACATGTGTGTGTGTGGGTGTGTGTGTGTTTGATATAGGTGAGAGAGCTGGTGGAGACTGCTTATCGCAGAGCAAGTACTCTGCTGAATACGCACATCGACATCTTGCATAAGTTGGCTGCCTTGTTGCTGGAGAAGGAGACTGTTGACGGCGAGGAGTTCACGGCATTGTTTATCGATGGCCAGGCAGAGCTGTATGTGCAGTAGTAGGTGAGCTCACTTGGCAGTGCCAGTTTGAATCAAGGACGTATGTGTTGACACCCATCCAGGACTGCAAGTGTGGTGCGAGGATTATGCAATGTGATTGGAACGATTGGTCTGGGGATGCAGCCGTTGTGGGACATTTCAGGTAAATGTTCGAGAGTATACCCGTTCGCAACTTCACGAAAGGGGAATCGCTATCCGACTAAGTGTGTAACAGAAACTACTTCACGATCAAATGGTTCATGAGGTCGTCGTGTCCCTATCACAATGTACACTCATCAGGCACAGCAATGAAGATGTGTACTTGCTCACGCAATTGTTTCTTGGCATCACCAGCGGGCTGGCGTCAGTAGGTTCAGGAGGTTCATATTTTGGTCCAATAGTGTTTGGGGGGGGGGGTTGTAATCTAAATGTGCAATGGTAATTATCGTTTCGTTGTTTTTCACTTATGGACTGCAGAGTTGTGAAGCGTCAGCATTATGTTTTAGACAATCGTACGTACAGAACATTCTGATATGTTCTGCACAGGGCATGTGAGGGGAGTTGTTAGTAGTCTTGCTCAGCGGGCAAGAAGATCTGTAGAAAGTTAAAAACTTTGTTTTTTGCTGTAAAGTTTATTCCTTTCGCTGTAAAGTTGAACCAGTGCTTGAGCATGGTGTGCACCTGTTAACAAGCCAGCCTTTGTACAGGCCTGCCTGCGCCCGGTTAAATTGATTCATGACTGCATGCGCTCGGAGCCCTGAAGAGGACTATGGGAATGTCTCAAGTGCTCGTGGGGTAAGGGATTGAGGAGGAATGAAGCAGGCGTACCCTCCCAACCACTCGATCAATCAATCAATCAAGATATATCCCTTTTTTTTTTTAATTTTTTGATATATTAAGCTAGGTTGTTGGATCGGACGTCCGGGACCCCCCTGACCGTCCGGGATGTCCGACCGGACAGGGTGTGTCCGACCTTGCGAAAAAAGAAAAGAAAAGAAAAAAAAAAAATCTCAGAAAAATCTGAAAAAATTATATGTTATGTAGAATAACAATACAAGCAACTTTTGCCTTGGAGTCATGTTCAAATTCGCATCCAATCATGAGTTAAAAATCAAAAACCGAAAAAAAAATCGAAAAAGAAAATGTTTTTCCGGACGACGGGGGTACCGGACGTATGGGGCGACGTCCGGGGGAGACGACCGGCCCCCGGACCATTGGTAACCTAGATATTAAGTGATTGATTGATTAATTTATTGGTTGGTTGGGAGGGGGGGGGTCACCCCTCACCCTCCGCGCGTGCGTGCACACACACACACACACACACACACACGCACACACGCGCGCGCGCGCGCGTGGGGCGGTGCTTTTTCTTTTCGCCCTTTTCTATATTTTGATTGACTGATTGATCGGCTGGGGGGGGGGGGGGGTGGCGCTCCCCGTGCACACACACACACACACACACACACACACACACACACGTCGTGAGGGCATGGGGCCTTGCCGTTCAGCAGGCAACCCACCCCCCCACTACCCACCCCGCCCTCAATTTTTTAAAATTTTTATGTTTAATGTGTGTACGTGTAAACCACAAGCTCCACAAACCTTCTGCCCCCCCCCCTCCCCTCCAAACGAAGACAAAAAAACATTAAAGCCGAACGCCGGCCAGGGGGGCCCGAACGTTTGGCCATTTGGGTCATGTTTTTAGGCCCTGGGCGAACTCGGGGTAACCCTGACCCCAAATATTTAGGCGTAATAACTGTACGTTCTATTCGGGAGAAGAAGGTAGTTGTTCTTTTTCTCTCTTTCTTTTTATTTCTCCGCATAACAATCAACAACCTCGTGTTTTTTGTGCGGTGATGGCCGAAGGCGAAGTCATGCGTCTGACGCCTTTCAAATTGCAGGTGGGAAATGAGCGAGAGCCAAGCACAGTGGCTGAAGTAATTCATAGCAAAAGGTACGGGTGCCCAAGTATTTTGGCAAACGCAGTGACGAATGAACTAAGGTAGGGTCCGGTTCGCGATCGATATCAGGCCGTTCAATGAGATGGCCTGGATCATTTCAGTAAAGCCAAACTGTGGTCAAGAAGCCAGCAATGATGCGGGACTAGGAGTGGGGTAGCATTTACGGCACATAGTGACCACCCATGGGAATCCTTTTCCTCCTCTAGACTCCCATAACAGTCCATTTCTTAGTCTAAGGTGCAACACCACGGTGCGAGACATGCAACTCAGCCACATTTCAAGGGCCTGTTGCCCTGCGCTTTCTATGTCAATTAACAAGGATCCAATATATTAATTAAACATCCATTCCAGGGACAGACAGATCCAGATCCATGAGAGCAGGAGTCGTTTCCATTGGACATGAAATGGTCGTTGAACTTTACTCTGAATGGTCCGGGCAGCACGAGTGCTTTTGGTAATGTGAGAGACGTGCAAATCGGCCACGTTTCAAGGGCCTGTTGTTCGTGCCCTTTCTATGTTAAACCCCAATTACCTTTCCCCGCTTGAAGAACAGATACGCGGTGTGTATTCGGGTGCAACTTTCGGGAAGTACCGGGGTGGCGTTTTGCTGGATATGCATCAAGGCATGATGGGCCTTGCATGCGACCCATTTTGCCTGAGTGGACATCTATGCGACCCATTTTGCCTGGATGGATGTCCAGCGAATCGATGCCCCAGTACTTCCCGAGAGTTGTAAGGCTGTGTATGCGCTGCGACTTCGAAATAATAGCTTGGAAACGTATTGGTGGTTTAATTTAACGAGGGGGGAATAGATCCATGAGGGGTGAGGGAGTTGTCTCCATTTGACCTGAAACGTTTGGTGAACTTTGTTCTTAGTGGTTTTGGCAGCAGGAGTGCTTTTGGTAGGTAACGTGTTCTCTTAAACCTCCAATTTCCTTCAAGATTTTTTTCCTGAAGCGAATTCTCGTCGCTACTACCCCCGACGTCATAAACCTCTTGGGACCAGTAGTGTCGTTTCACGAGGGTTACCGGTAGCACAGAGTGGAAAACCGGGTGAATGGCAAAAATGAAATTTGTGTCAAAAAATTGGTAATGCGCCAGTCGGGCGCGGTGATTATTTCACCATCAAAATGATTTTATTTGTTTTTTTCTGATATTTTTCTTTGAAAGGTCACGACCTAATCCACAGACTGTAAAATTTTCAGAATTCTCGAAGAATTCTTGTGAGCACTAAAAATTGCCAAAGTTGCGGCTTTCAAATAGCAGGATTGGACCCGCCGGTGATGAATGGTCGCCGCCCCTCCGTAGAACCCAGCCCTAACTCACAAGGCTGAGGGTTTTCGACTATCGGGGGGAGTGGTGGTTCCACCGGTCCCCCCGCCAGCCGAAACCCCTTGGCCCGGTGAGTTAGGGCCGGGTTGTACGGAGGGGCGGCGACCACTGTTCGTCACCGGCGGGTCCAATCCCGCCATTTGCAAGCGGCAACTTTGCCGATTTTTTGTGCTCAGAAGAATTCATCAAAATGTCTGCAAATTTGAGGGTTTGTAGATTAGGTCGTGATCTTTCAGGGAAAAATATCAGGAAAAAAAAAAAGTCATTTTGACCATCGAATATTTGCCTGACCGATTTGGTGCATTTTCTCAAATTCCACTTTTTCAGGCCTGACCGGTTTTCCACTCTACACTACCGGTACCCCTGAGGTTTCTGACATCAGGGGGACTACAGGTACCCCCGAGGTTTCTGACGTCAGGGGGACTGGTGACACATCCATAAACTTTCATTATATCTTCGATAAGGCTAGAGTTTGTTCTAGGATTACGAGGCCAAATTTGCTGATACAGCATAGTCTTCTATATTTTTTACATACTAATCTCCATCATCATTAGGATCATCGTCATTACTATCATTATCTCACAGTTCTCATAGAATTAGCAGAAGTTCATCATCATCATCACCATACGAGGGACGCTGAGCCAGGTCCTTTGCATGTTCGATTCGGTCACTCTGGGTGCAATGTGAGGACCCCAGCCACAATCCTCTTATTGGTAATATCAGCCTTGGGCACTTGGCCCGTTGAAAAATGAAAATTAAAATGAAAAAAAAAAAAATCATTATTCACAATTTCAGGTTTGGCGGTTAACATCCCAAAGGACATGGGAAGAAAGGTCAGCAACGTCCTGAATGTATCATGTACATCTATGTACCCACCTCACGAAGTATATCTTGTGTCTAAAGCTTTTATAATACCCGACTTCAGAACAAAGAAATTCCGCTAACGAGCCTCGTGCAAGCGACACTACAGTTGATTCAAGGTAGGTTAGCCAAGCTATAGCGCAATATTTTTCTTATCTTATATTGTATGATTGCTGGACAAGGTAGCCACCAGGCCTGCCTGTTAGGCTCTATGCCAATCCCGATTCCCTTCTCCTTGATTTCCCTATTCCATCTTCCCAAAATTCCCTGTGCCTCGGGCATTTGAGAATAAGGTGGGTAATATCTTCAATCTTTGTTTGGCGTAGGGGGCAGTGCGAGTTTGTGCACTCCTTCTACATATGTTTTTTCTCACACTCTCCTTTCAGGTTGTCCTCACATCAGGACTTTTCCCACTGATCTGTTGACCTAATAGGGTCAGACACATCCAGCTTGGGCTCTAATTCCAATCAGATACACACAGGACAGTGTTAGTGTGCATATGCCCTCAGATCAGCAGCCCATCTGTCCATAGGAAGGTGTCGTGTTACTTGTGAAAACTTGCAAATCTAAGCCACAAGTACCTCGCTCAGGCGAACTTGAGAATCGAAATTGTGTCAGTCTGGGTTTCTTCGGATGAACAATGGTCCCCGATCAAAACGTTTGGCAGCACCAACCAAAAAAGGGAAAAACTGCGCCACTGGTGGCTCATTTTTCTTATGGTGTGTGGTGCAAAAAGGGGCCCAGAGGTACCGGTGGTTTAAACCTCCACTGTGCTAGAGTGTATTTTCACTCTAGCACCGGTGTGTTTGGATTTTGTGTTTTCGTAAACACAAATGCTATGCTTTCAACTTTTCGATATGCAGGTCTGCGCGCAGCAGGTTTGGTAGGTTCTGATAGGCAATCGACGGGAAATCGCTTCAGGAAAAAAATATTGAAGGAAACTGGAGGTTTAAGCTTTCATTTGGTCATGGGGCATCCCATGCAATAGAGTTGGAGGTAGGACATGCACCTCCGCAATGGATATTGTATAGGTTACCGCACCATATGGTTGAGTTGCGGCGGCAACTCGGTTATCTGATAGCACTTGGATTTATTGAGCCAAGTTTTTTATTGTTAAACCACCAGTACTTCCTAGAGTTGTGCCCGTTAACGGGCCACGATTTTAGGAAACGTGCGGGCTACTACAGGAGCGCCTAAAATAATCCGACTAAAAATATTTCTACTCTTTTTTTTTCCACGGTCGATAGTTGGGCCAAGTACTTGTTGTTTAAGTATTTTGTCAAAAGACAAACAATGGTATATTATGTTGTGTGATGACTTGCAGTGTTTAAACCGAATGACCACAAAAAAATGTTACCCCTTTCGATGATAAATGAGATTCTCGGTCATTTATGTGGAACACAGGTTCTTACAAAGATTGATTATGTAGTGGTTACCTTCATAATTATATTCATAAGGAAAGCATTGAGAAGTTCATTTTCAGTTTTTGGTTTTTGCCACCAATGCCCCTTTGACAGCCCAACGGGTGATAAACTCGATCTTTGGACTACTTGGACGGTTTGTGTTATTGTGTAACTCGACATTATTTTGATCATTAATAAGACTTTTGAAAAACATTTTCACCATTTTTATTATGGCCCTCAGATCCTGCAGAACCGACACGTATATGCCAGACTAA